TAACGCCCCCACGGCTGAAAGGGCGAGCATGTTTGGTGTGACGGGGATTCGAACCCGCGACCCTCAGAGTACGAGTCGAGTGCCTTAACCACCTGGCCATGCCGGGCCAAATTTCTTAAGAATTTATCTCGTAATTACCAATAAATCATCTTTCTAAAATACAAAGAAAATTCTAAAATAATTCTTTGGCAAAAAAAAAGTTAAACATTTACATATTTAGATGGCCCCCCAGTGGCACAGCGGTATGTCTGCGGACTTACAACGCTAGAATCCGGGTTTCGATACCCGTGTTGGGCAGAGCACAGATAGCCCATTACGTAGCTTTGTGCTTAATTACAAACAAACATATTTTGACGTTAAATGATTAAGTTTTATTACACAGAAATGAAATCTTAAAATGATAAAAAAAAATTATTAGAAATAATAATAACACCTTTTTAAAACTTAAGTAAAAGTTTAAATAAAAATGAAAAATGACAAACTCACACGAAAACTTTAAGAAATAATAAAATTTCCGTGTGTAAAAAAAGATATAAACAACAATAACCAGACTCGGAAGACAACTTTAAATCTTGCTTTAATTGTTGTTGTTTTTTCAAGCACAAAGTTACACAAATGGGCTATCAGTTCTGTGCCCTCCGCGAGTATAAATAGTCAGCCTTACATCGCTGAGCCACTGGTGGCGCTTTAGTCGGTTTAAATCATGTTCAGATGTTCACATTAGGCTTCTCATTCAAGATGATATTCTATCAGTTACACCCTCTTTAGTGAATTAATTTATTTGTTTTTTTTTTGTTTCCTTATAAGTTTATTAAAGAAATATAATATTATTTAAAACCTGCTGAAGATTTTCCAACTTCTTCAGGAAAATATTTTACTTGCTTTAAGAGGCTTAATGCGATAATATATTAGAGCTAAACGTAGTAGATTTGCTAAAGATTTTAGGCCTACGGGAAAAATATTAAAATCGTTAACCCAGTATAAAGTATAACGGAAATTTCATTCCCAAAGTAGTAGTTATACGTAAAAGAGAGCTGTTTGTTTGTTTTATAGCAAAGCCACATTGGGCTATCTTATATATATCTACCGCGGGTAATCGAACCCAGGATTTTAGCGTTGCAAGTCTGTAAATTACCGCTGTCCCACCGGGGGACGATGAAGACGTTAATTGTAAATCTGAATTATTTTTCACTATATTTCGTTACACAAATTTAAAAAAATGCATTTCGTTTTTTTTTTTTGTATTCGGGCATTCCCGAGTTCGAAAATATCTGTATATATATATTCAAATAATGTGGTGGCACTAAAGCCACTTAAATATCATATAATAATCACAATAATTCGAGCATGTAAACGTAACTGTGGCTGTTTATGAGTTACCCATTAAAGGCACTAAAAATGGAGAGACTAAAACTTAATCATATCTCTAAGATATCCTTTTCAAAATACATAAACAGTTTTCTACACCTGCAAGCAATACCAAAGTTTATTGGTTAAGCCTAATTAGGCTTCGGTACTATTTTTCACTTTAACACTCAGCAAAGTCGAATAAATTGGTTGCAATATTTAACCGAGTCATCTCCTAAAACAGACCATTCGAATATGCCTTGATGGATAATTTAATATACCTTTAATATTATTTTGTTCGATTTCACTAAACTAATAATAAAATCAACCCCCCCCCCCCCCAGTTTCCGAAAGCATTTGTTCATTCACTCTTTTTAAAGTTATTTCTGATCTGTAGACCCCTCGAATAGAATGGAAGAAAATGTATTTTAAGTTTGAAGACATTTTTTGAACACATTATTACTGGAAAATAATTGTGTTTGCTCAAAAACATGAGTGCTTAATGAAGTTCGACATGCAAATGCGTGGATAATATGAAGACGTTAGCTATTTACGCTGTCACAATTTAGGAGTTGCGTGTTAAGACAAATACGTTATGGAATTCACCAAATGGCACGTGAATAATGGTGAAACAATACATCACTGGAAGTAGTCACGAGTGATTAAAGTTTGTCATAAAAACATTTCGACCTCTCTCTCTCTCAATTCAAGCGCAGACTTGTTTTTATTATTAATAACTTTGCTCATTTTTGTTTTTAAGTTGCAGAAGAAAAGGTTGTGTTTTAAATTAAACCACTGGAAAATATCAAATGAAATATTTCATGAACAAATAATTATAATGTATTATTCATATATGATCACATTGAAAATGTATGTTTATAAAATGTAAACATACCATT